TCCCCCCCCCCCACATCAGCTGATTGTTAGGATGTGGGGAGGAGCATTTTCCTAGGACTGTAATGTGGCAACTACTGCTTCCCAGGAGCTGCCAACTGGCATTTGACAGCTTGTCCCCTTCCCAAGCAGGGGACAAGCTGTCAATTAATGGGCTTCCCTAAAGGCATGAGTGGCCCAAGGAGAAGCCCTCTAGTGCCTCCTGGCTGTAGAGCTCACTTGTGAAGCTCTCCAGCCATGGAGGTGGACGAATGTCTGTACAGTCAAGATCCCAGGCTATTCTACCAGCATAAATTTCTTCTGATAGAAATGAACTTCTGTATACAACCCTAGTTTTGAAAACTCTCTTCCATGGACAAGACATGCTGAGGAAGAATATTGATATATATCGTGGAAATAAGAAACAATTTAGAATGTATTATTTGTGCAGCAAAATTGTTTTCAGGCAAACAAATCATTGACCTGTACTCGCTGTGAGTCAAGACCATTTAACGTTCATGTTAAAGCAATATAATTCTTTTAAAATCTCATGCACTTTTCAGGCAGCAAAAAATATTAAAGGAATAAATTAAATAAGTAAAAAAGTTTTCAAATGTTTTCTCAGATCCAGGAAATAATTTAGATTTGTCCAACCTTAAGAGCATATATAATTAAATTAAGGTAAAAATTACTAATCATACTTGCACATGACTGTTTTGCTGAAATGATGCCTAAATAGGTGCTAAAATCCATAAGAAGTGAAGGGAATCAGTTCCTCATAGGATTAAACCTCTTATTTAGGAAAAAGGCTCCTTTGCAAAATGGCCCCACCTGATGAAAACAACCAAGCAAGCAAGGAAAAAAAATCCAATATTTTATATTCCACATAAAAGTCATTCTTCTTTAGGCTCTTTGAATGTTTTCTAGCTCAAGAGGAATGCTAATGAAGACTTAAGGGGAAAAAATAAGATTTAACATCATTGTATTTATTAGGTTCTGAAACAATACACATTCACATCCTTTTGAATACAGTACATTTGGCACAGTAATAATGTTTATGATGAAATAACACTAATGAATGGCAAGAGATTCAAATTACATCCATAAGAAAAAAAAACCTGTACAAATAAATTGTCACAATAAAAAAAAATCTAACCCCCCCTAAAACTGAATACATTTTATATTTAGCCAGAGCTAGTCTGCACATAATTTAAAAAGAGGTAATTTTTTAGCCTTTTTGGAGAGAATTCATTTTATTTCACACTATTGAGAAAAAATGTGTTTCCATTTCTTTACGAAGTCTGTAAGAGAGGAAGACAAGAAACATTGAATTCCTTTCTTCTTTTTTTTTGGCATTTTGCACAAAAAGAGAGCAAGAAAAAATTTACAGAATAGGCAGAAATGTAACAGAATGTCCATTTTTAAGAATTACATAAAAATGTTCAAGGTAACAGACAAACCTCCTGATGTAAACCTAGTGCAGTTCTATTTACTTGTATTGAAGAAACATCTGCCCATGCAAAAAATTTCTTTCTCTGACTTTTCTCTTAGCATCCTAACCAAAACAAATGCAGGTGCTGAGGCCTCTTGTTATACAACAGTTTCATGATTTTCCTGTTGGAACTGGGAGCGTACTAAATAGTTTACGCATCAAAATCTTTGTGGAATGTATGTGCTCCCCAAAAAGAAATGCTTTTCATTTTGCATAAAGGCCTCTATTTTTGTACAAACAGTTGTACACTTTGGAATAGCTTGTCTTCCTAGTCAGTCTAGTCACCTATGGAAAAGAACATTTAGCATTGCGATCAGTTCTTGCCTGGATGTCAAAAGTGAAATGTGGTGAAAAATACACACAGCCAGTAGTGACGCATGAAAATTTGTGGGCAGTTTTATCATACCTTCCTAAAAAAAATGAGATGATGCAATTGTTTCTGTGCTTGTACTCAACTCCAGAAGCTAGTCTTTTCCCAGTACATAAAGTTACTGAAGATAAATTAAATTAATCTAAAGGTTTGATCCATTATTAAACCTGTAGGCCAGACAACACATGAATTGATATCATAATATTTAATATTTTGAAATCATCAGAATATATATAATAATTACACCTGAGTTAAAAAAAAAACAAAATGGAACTGAATGTTTTCATCCATAACAGGCTCTGAGCAGCCAGATGCAAAACTGACACAAACTTATTTGCTTGAGACCAAGATTTGCTTAAAGCCAATTACTCACACTTTGTCCACTACAATTTGTAACATTCCTTTCTCTTTCCTAGCTCTATCATATCATAATAGAGTTGAAGAGAACTATACAAGAGATTTAGTATAGCTTAATATATGTCTACATCTTTTATAACAAAAAACCTCATCTCTCTGACAGTAACTTGAACCAATACACATACAAGAGTATTGCACATGGACATTATTATAATTATTCTTTCATAGACTAAAGTTTTTATAATATGCCTAAACATGCAGCAGTTGATACCTCTATATTCATTGAATTCCACAGGCTTTGCAGCAAACACTATATACAAAATCTCACCTGTACAAAAGGCAAAAAAGCTTCTTTAGTGCCACTTTGCCAATCACAAGTATATATATTTTTGTGCAGTTGGAAATCCATGAACAACAATTAAAATGGATTCCATTAACTGCTCACTCAGTCCAGTAAAATATATAATAAAATGACCTCAGCGATACATGTACACAAAAACACAGGATACTCCTGGAAATAAGTACATAACACTGTTAGCATATCTACAAGAGGTAACTTCACATTAGTAGTATTGTCCACATGAGTTACCATTTCAATTAATACACAAGAAAATCAATTTACATCTTTCAATAATGTCAGTTTTTGAATGTTTGATCTTCAGTCTTACACACTGATTCCACATAATGCATGTTTAGCCTTGGTTTGTGTTCTTCTAACAGCACAGATTTCATAAGATTTTACACATTAAAAATAAAACAGTAGTACTATGGTTTTGTAAAAGTGTGCAAAAGTAACACACTGCTGTGAAAAATAAATAGGGACCTGTTACACTGGAATACAAACATCTTATATTTTAAAGAAAAAAAGTAACTTTAAAAATACCTCCATACCTATCATTGTGTATCAATGGCATATTTGTCTTGGGTACAAGTTTATTAGGAAGTAATTAAACTACTCTATACCCAATTACCTGTAAAATTTGTGGAAAACCTATGTAGATCTATTAAAGCTCTTATAGGTTTTTGGAGAATCTGTCTACTGTTACATTTTAGCCCTTTAGTATCTGTCTAGAAAGTATCTGATTTCCTTTTTTAAGTAAATGTTTCAGTTCTTTGATTTTTTCATGAAAAGTTTTGGCAGCTTCAAATAGCTGTGCCCTTTTTTGCTGGATAGTTGTATACTACAATTACTCTCCAGTAAGTTAAAGCATATGTGATCAATAATTGCACATCCAAGAAAGACACTTTCATTTACGACAAAGCTATAAATTATCTCTCCACCTTTGAATACAAACTTAATTGTAATCGCCAGTACAGAAGAAATGGCACAACATGCATTCTCTCTCTCAATTTAAGGATGTATGGCAATGATGTAATGTTTCATGACAAATAATTGGACATGCTGTCTCCATCTTAAACTGCATGGTTCCTTTTATTACATGAGAAGATGCAAGTTGTGCCCTTTTTGGGAAGTCTTATGAGTAAAAGAAAAGTGGCAAATTAAAAAAATATGGCAGTGTGTTACATCTACAATTTCTGATACAATATTCTTTTGCATTGCTTTGAGAGACAGAAATTAAGAGTGCCTTTAGATCAGAGGATTAAAGAAAACATATCAATAAATATATAGTTTAAGTAGGGATACAGGCTCATAGTAAGAGAAGTAGTTTTTGATCTACTGAGTCTCAGTAACTTGAGGGTCTTCTTAGGACCACTTCTTGCAGCATCATTCATCTGGCAGCCTAATGTTGTCTATGGCAGTAGCTCATCTCCAAAGTAAGAGAACCCCTTAAATTCTTCTTGATTGATTTGCTTTATAATTGTCTCATCCACCAGCGTTAATACTGGCTCTTCTCGTGTAAAGTCTTGATCAAAGTTATTTACGTCCCTTTTGGTTTTCTGAGAAGGAAAGTACAAAAAAAAGGTGAGCATAAAATGATAAACAACAAAAAAAGATGAACAGCAAAACTGCTTTTCTGGGGCTGAAATAGACAGAATTTTCTCAAATGATAAAAAAAAGAAGCTAGTTCACAGAAACAATAAGAGCCATGGGATAAGCTACAGGAGCACAGAGTATAAATAAATTCAAAGGAGGGCTTGAAAGCAAGTACTAGGAATGGGTTCAGAGAGACCCTCAGGCCTCTGAGTGGTGAAGGGATAGTGACATGATGAGAAAGCAGGAAGCTGAGATTAAGGTTTATTTGAAAAAGATTTTGGCATTGTTGGCTGGATGTTTTCCATTCTTAACATTTTCTATGGTTTTAATGGCCTCTTACTTCAGAGGCATGAACTGAACTGTTTTTCCCCATAAGCTCACCTGCTACATCTCTACATTATCTACTCACTTACATCTGCATTCGCAGTTGATTTACCATTTGCACACAGGCAATTCAAGTGCCCCCATGTTGCCCCATACTGAGGAATCAACAAAAGGCACCGCTTAAGTAACATCCAAATTACTGTTGGTTTCAATGGGGTCTGTATTCTCCCTTGGACTCCAGGACCAACTATCAGCTTATGAGCTGATACTGTGCACAAAGCTGACAACTGGTGAGAGCTGTGGGGTAGATGTCTATTGACTAAGAACAGAGCTGAGGAAACAAAAACATTTCACATAAGCCACTAAATAACCACACAATGCTCTTGGCTGTCCGTGGCTACTAAAATGGAAGTAACCTAAACAGGTAACATGAAGGGGGAGAGCTCCATCTTTTATTGTCAATCCCCTGAGCCCTGCGGTATTGCTGCATTCCATCTTAATACAGTCCTATGATGTTGTCAATTCCCAATGTGGGGACGGGACAGTCACTCTGTTTCTTTAGAGTTTTTAGGGCTGTCTAATCTTTAAGTTTCATGAAATCTTTGAAAACAGCTAAAATGACCCAACTGGTACTCCATGGAGGCAAAACTGATAAATGGGTTCTTGTATCTGTATCACCTATGACCAGATACAGATCTTCTTGAAAGCTAGATAACCCTAGAACAACAATTCCAACTTGACGTGCACTGTAACATGTCAAATCAACCATGTTACATTATATAGATTTATGTACTATAAGCCTGTATGCGTCTCCTTTCAATATACATGCATAATTTTGTTAAGGCAAAAATATACCCAGTGCATTATTTGATCAATGCTGTTTCTGCATTTGTTGGATTTTTCTTTATTTGTATTAATCACATAATTTCCTTTTTCATTAGTAAAATGGTCCTAGTAACTTATCAATCTTCTATAATGAATGTGTATAACATATCTATTAGCAAAATAGCTGTCTTAACCTAAATGAAGAATATCTACCATTTGTAGACTCTAATACATCAAAGTGGTAAACAGTGATCATATATAAATCCTACTACTTGCTAACAATGTCTCTGTACATACTGTACTGAGATATATAAAAATCACTGTTTAACTTGTTTTCTAAAGATTCATCTATGGGCAAAATCTTAAGTCCTCAGTGCATTCTTACTCCAAAGGGCAAATATTCCATAAAAGGTTTATTTGAATTTTTGAATGCATTCTCTCTGCAGAGCATTAAAAGACAAATATTTGTAGAAAGTGAGTTCCAAGTTTGTAATCATGATTCTATGCAACAGAAACCTGATCCTATGCTGACATTCTGAGCACTGGATATTCACAGTAAAAAAAAACCCTGAACATGTAACTTGAGTTTTTCTATTAATTGTGTAACTTCTTTATTTCTATTAATCACATTATATGCTGTTAAGAATTATTTGCAAATTTCAAGAACAATATATTTCAATCATATGCAAATATAACTAATAATATGAGCACACTGCACTTTCTATGAGTTAAGAATTTAACAAGAGGCTAAAAACATATTAAATTATTTGCCCCCTGAATCTAAGGGCATGTTTTAAAAGGTGTGTGCATATATGGGTATCTGCAAGTTTTAAGCTCCTGGATGCTTAAGTCCAGTAGTTTGTTTTTTTTTAAGCTGACTTGGTGCTTATCTGCATCTTTAGAAGCCTAAATCCCTTTAATAATCTGACCTTGGGATGGAAGGGTTCCGAATGTTTTCCTGTCTCAGATATAAAACCAATTATCTACATTTCAACAAAGACATAAATCAGCCAATCCAGCAACAGGGCTAGGGTGTTGCAACCTGCACTTCATACTCTTAACATGCCTGTAACAAAGTAATTGATCAAGCCAGACAAAACGAACCACAGGGCACTGACAAAAGTGAATGGATTAAGTAAAGCAAGGGAAAAAGTTCAGAGTTCATAACCACAGCTTAATTTCAAACAGAAACCCTCACCTAAGAGACTTCTCCCCCCTTAGCTTCTTAGGCAATTTCTTCCTGAAACCACTTATATTTTGCAAGGCCCCAATCTGCAAAGAACTAACAGGTCTGGCCACATTTCTGCTGGTTCCTGACACTGCTATTGTAATATTCATGCACTCTGGGTGCTACCAAGAATGCACAGCTTTAAAGTTGCAGTGCCACATCCCAGAAAGAAAGGAAGACAGCAAGGCCTGCTGCCATCTCCAAAAAGAAAGCCTGGGAAAAAATGGAGTACTGAAAGGGACTGTGAGCCCATGTAAATGTAATGCTGTTAGTGCCAATCCTAATTATTCAAAATAAAAATAAAACCATGAAGAAAACTATTTAAAAAATCCTAAAACTGAACTAAACATAATAAGATTTTAAAATGCAATAGCAATATTTGGAGTTCTTTTTACTGGCTTTCTGGTTCCTGCCATTTTAGAATTCACTTTTCCACATCTTTAAGGCTTTTCTCCCTAAGGAAGGCTAGAAACTTATTTTTTGACAATTAAAGCTAAGCTTCTCAAAGCAACTTCACAATGCCAGGAGCTGGGTCTTTAATAAAAACACAAAATATTGCAAACCATGTGAATTGGCACGGATGGAATTCTACTGGGGATGCTACCAAGGAAACAGAGTCAGAAGCACACTGAAAGGCATGGAAGAAATACTGGGTAGCGTGGGGCTGACAGGAACACCAATACCCATTTAGCCAGACTTTCCATATAGTGTAAGTCACAAGAAAAATCTTATTACTTTCAGAAATTGCTTCCCACCTACGTTTCCTACATTTTCTAAGCTGTCTCCCTGAACAACTTACGTCTAGACTGTGTCTTTTTTCTTTCCAAACCCCGCGCCCCCCAAAAAAACCCCAAAACCAGAGGCAGAGCATCCACATAACTATTACTGATAGGATACTATGCCCCACTAAAACTATCTGTAATTTGATTTTATTTCGACAAATACCAAACTACTACCACATGATATGTAAAGACCACAGAAAGCAGGACCTTGGTTTGACAATTCATCCAAAAGATAGCCACTTCTTTCATGGCAGTGTATCTCATGCCAAGACAGGTTATTGGGTCACAATTTCTTCTGAAAGATTCGCTTAATTGCCATCCTATCTTTTCGAGCCACATGTTTTTAAGAGCTCTTCTTAAGAGCTCTCCACTGCTGAATCAGCTGAATCTCTCAATCGGCCCCATCCCGCTCCTGCTCTCCCAGCCCCATCAATGGCTGCCCCACCTGGCCCCAGCTACTGGCTCTTTGAAAAAAAAGGTTCTCAGCACTTCAGGTCCTTCATTAGTTAAAAGAAAGGGGGGGTGGGCTTAAGGATCATAAAACAGGACAAGAGTTCCTGGCTCTTTTGATTTTAGTCCCTTGTTACTATAGAAACCACATTGTGTGATCCCATCCATTAACTTATCAAGCAAGATTCTCATTAAAGTCAATGTCATTTGTCTGACACAATCTTTAAGGCGTTGGCTGGGGCTGAGTTCCTTTTTCTTTGTAGCCTCCTTCAGCTAAGTAGAAGAAACTGAATCACCGGTGAATCAAATCTTGAAGCCCTGATAGGCATATTCCTAGATAACTTCACTATGAATTTTGCTTGAATGACGTTTGACATTTGTGGGTGCTTGTACACGTGACGGGAGTTTAGTCCTCAGGGTTTTATTCTATACCCCCTAAACTGAAACAGTGGGTTTTTAATTGAAACCCACTGTTTCAATTTTTCCATCACATTACAGCAAGGGGCCCAATCTTTTTTTTCTTTTTTTTGGTGGAGCCAGAACCTGCTGTGGCCTGGGGGTGAGTTGCCAGCAGGCTGAGTGGCCCCTGAGCTGAGGGGGGCCTGGTCCTTCCCTCCACGGTAGTGATGCCCCCTGGGGTGACCACGGCAGGCTGCTAGTGGGCCACGTGCTGTCTTAGCTTGGAGGCAGCACCGGACCCGATCCAACTGTTCCCCTAGCAGACTTGGGGAGCAGCATCTGGTGGGTTTGCAGTGGGTGGGCTCGGGGAACAGCTGGATTGGGCTGGGTGCTGCCTATGACCTGGGGTAGCACCCAGCCCATTAGCAGCCCACCTGCTTGGCCCAGGGGGCACTTCAGGAAGGAAAAACTGGGGCCCTCCACAGCTCAGGGGTCACTCGGTCTGCTGGCAGTTCACCCCCTGGCTGTGGGAGAGGCTGGCAGGTTTCATAGAAATAAAAAAGGATTGGGCCCCTCCACTTCTGCCTTCAGCAGGCACTTGCTGAAAGCAGAAGCGGCAAGTGGCCTGATCCTTTTTTCTGCAGAGCCTGCCCATCTCTCCCACACCTGGGGGGCAACCTGACAGCTGCAGTGCATCATTGCAAACTAAACTACATTGTGTAGTTCAGTTTGCAACAATGAAAACTCATCTAAAACCCCCCAAACTGGCACACATGTAATGTGTGATGCCATTAAGCCACACAAATGACATTTTTGTCACATCATGACTACTATCACATGTACAAGCTCTCAATGACTCCAATTTATGACATCATAACTGTGAAGAGAAATGTTACCCAGACTGAAAGGATCAGCATTCTGAATAGTTTGTGTTTCACTTGTTATAACACTTCTA